CGTTGCAGCTGGAGTTTGAGCTGGCAGAAGCAACAAGAGATGAACCCGAACTTCAAACAAGATGTGAAGAACTTCGCCGTCGCTTACAGGTCCTCACGGCGGAGAAGAACATGTTAGACGCAGAGATTGCCACAAATGAGGCGGAACTCACAACATCTCTTTCGGAGAAGGAGGAGATTGCACGGATGCTCACAGCGGACGTAGAAAAGGCACGGGCAACTGTCCTCCACCTGCGGCGTCAGCAAAATCTTCTGGTGGGGGAGTTGAACTCCATGCGGGACGTCGTGCTGCATGGACGCTCCCACGGACTTTTGGCACGCCGAGCCCTTAAGTCACGTCTGCTGGAGACCGCGTCGCAATTGGCACTGGAGAAACTTTTGCATGCACGTCTCACGGCGCAAGTGCAGTGGCAGCGGGAGCAGATTCACCGTGAACAGCAGGCGATGTCGACCCTATCGAATGTGCCGCAGAGATCCGCCAAGGAACGGCAGATGGAGAGCTTTGACCGAGTTGTGACGCTGGCAAAGGAGTTGGCACGATGGACAATTGACGAGGGCGACAAGGAGACGACTCAGCTGCGGAACGAAGATCTCGAGTCCCGCATTCAGGATCGTGTTGTGGTGTGTCATGATGCCTGCTTGCAGCTCCGTGGTGAGATCGCAAAAATGATCAGCAGCGAGGAATTGGCACGTCGTTTGGCGCAGCGTCAGCAGGAATTATTGGAGCATCAATGGATTGAATGGAAGGTGCGTCAGGAGGATCTTCTCGCGGCGGCCGTGGAGCCGTTTCGGTCAGCCACCGTGAATGCCTTGCCGCTCCCTGTTCCGTTGCCAACAGCGGAGGTTCTCCATCATGAGGCGCAACGACTGTACGCGGCCCTCTCCCATATGCTGCACCGCGAGAGCCGCTGCAAGGCACTCCTGCAGCTTCTGCAGGGGTACGAGGATCGGGCGTCAAGCGGGAATGAAATTCAACTACTCCCCTTCCGTCCCGCAGGGAATTTCACGGCGGATCACATCCGTCTTTCTTCTCTACCTTCGGTCGCCACCACCACCACCACCACTGCTCCCACCACTGCGCCCACCGGCACGGTGCAGCCACAGTCCATCATACAAACGCAGATTTCTCCTGCCGCGGCGCACCGGAAGATGGTGCTGCAGTTCATCAAGAACGAAATTCAGCCATTGTACGACTCCAACCAAATCTCGCGCGTTCGTTTTATGGACGTTGTTGAGCGTGTCTCGCGTTGGTTCCTCACCACGCACCCGTTGCCACAACCCGTCCTTGCAGAGAACGAGCGACAGGCTATCTGCCGGCAGATTCAGGCAACATTGACGTGGCAGGACGAGCAACAAATAAAGAGGCGTGGTGCATGACCCGTGAGTATTTGGAAGGTTGCATTAATAGAAGGAACTCACATATCGTATTAAAACGTTTGTTTTTCCATTTCTTTCTCTTTTTACCTTTTTTTTTTTCTTTGCGCACATGCACATTCTTTTTTTCCTCAGCTTACATATTTACTTATTTTTTTCCCAATTTTTATTCTTTCCTACCCGTGTGTATGTGTGTGTCTGTGAATGCTGCTGGTGTAACTGGCGAAAATGTGTACGCATGTAACTGCAGGCCACACGGTTAATTGGAGCTAAGTGCCTACAAGAGTTTATCTAACTGCCTCTGCTCCTTCCTTTTCTTATTTTTCAACCCATCCTTCTCACTCCATATCCGTCTATCACTCTGTGTCTCTGTGTGTGTGTGCATTCTGGCTTTTGCAGTCAAAAACGCTGCTGCTGTTGTAGGAGGAGAAAAATGGGCCGTCTTCGTGTAACACCGAAGGGCAAAGTGAAGAAGAACATCCCCGTCACTCGGGTGGGGAAAAAGCAATACCTAAAACGGCGCTTTGCCCACGTTCGTCGGGTTGACGTGGCTGGTGCGAACAATCACTTCACACAAAAGTACTTTGACGGCTCCAACACGGCCGCGCAGAACTTCACGCGGCTTGGTCTCACGACGGATCCGAGTGCACCTAAGTCTGTCGTGGAGCTGCGCAAGAAGCAAGTACGGCCAAAGTCACGCCGTCGACTGGAGGAAGAGGACACGATAGCGGAGCAGAAGGCGTTGCGGCAAAAGTCCCGCATTGCCAGGCCCATAAGCGAGGCAGAAGCCACCACAATAGTGAGTCTTATTAAGAAACACGGCACGGACTTTAGGGCAATGTCATTTGACCGTAAACTCAACCCGTTTCAACTAAACCCGCGTCAGCTGCAGCGGCAGGTTGTGAATTACCTCCGCTGGGAGCAGGCCGCCTTTCCAGAGGCGTTTATGGAGGCGGAGGCCAAAGGCTGGTTCTCAATCGCCGAGTACAGTGATCCGAAGAACAGGTTAGGAAAGAAGTGATGCCGCCTGTGGAATCTAAAAGGAAGAAGAAGGAGGATGGATGGATGGATGAATTTCTGTTGCACACTAATGAACACTTTGATTTTAGTGATAGTGCCTGCGTGCGTGTGAGTGTGTGCGTGTGTCCTGGAGGGCGTGGTGCATCGGTGAAGAGGAAGACACAAAGAAAAGAAAAAAGAACAGCAGGAGGAGGAGGGCTCTCAGTAAAAAAAAAAAAACACGCATTTGAAAAGCGTCAAGGGAGATGAGATATAAACATGGAGGGAGCATGAAGTGTGGAAGAATCCATGACGGGGTTGTGTTGTTTTTATTTTTGGTGGCAATGGGAGGAGGGGATGTACGCCCGTGACATGTTCAGCCTATTTCACCTGTTTTGTGTCTGTTTCACCCCACCCACCTCACTTCACTCCAAGGAACCGAAGACGAGACAAAATTAAAAGGATAAAAAATAAAAGATAAAAAAAATAAAAAGAGGGAGGGAAATAAAAATAAAAGGAAACACAACAAACATTTAAAAAGAAAAATAAAATAAAATAAAAAAAGAGAAGTGGATGTCCTTTCAAGAAATTGGTGTGGCTTTTGTGCGGCAGTACTACGAGTTTTTCTCGAAGAGCCGCGACCAACTTGCCGGTGTGTATCGTTCCAATTCGCTCATGACGTGGATGGGAGAGCAGCTGCAGGGCGGCGCAAATATCATGGCACGTTTTGCCAACCTTGGCTTCAACGAGGCTATTTTCAAGGCAGAAGACATCGATTGTCACCCTTCACTCAGTAACGGCGTGCTGGTTGTTGTGAATGGCGAGGTACTACTGAAAGATGAACGGCACCCGCTGAAGTTCAACGACGTCTTTCACCTGGCACAAGACAATGGCCAGTGGTACATCTCAAACCAAATCTTTCGTATAGTTGGTGGGGGCGGCCAATAAATAACATAATCCAAAAGAAAAAGAAGCATAAGGAAGGAATTATACACAAACACACATGTATATATATATATATATATATGTAAGGAGTAACGGAAGGGAGGGCGGAAAAAGAAGGAAAAAAGAAAAAAAGAAAAAAAAAAGAAAGCGACAGACAGAAATGAAGGGAAAACAGAGATGGGGAGGAAGGGAGAAACAATGGCAACAGTAACAACAAAAAGAAGGGATATGGGTTACGAAAAGGACCGGGGGGAGGGGGGGGGGAAGGGGGAAAGGAAATAAAGAATGGACCACGATTTTGTTGTAACGCAGCCAAAACTTGACTTTTTCTTTGTTTCTTTCTTTCTCTCTCTCTCTCTCTCTGTGTGTGTGTGGATGCGTCTGTGCACGACTGCCATCAATTACATTTCTCATTGCAGGTTGCATGCGCATAAACATAAACGCACAAATAAACTTATCCAATGCCGCAACGTCGTTGTAGCGGAAAAAGCAAGGTGGTGTGTTCTTTGGGTGGGTAGGTAGTAATCCGGGAAGCCATTCGATGTGTTGTTGTTTTGCGGATTTTACAAATATTTATTTGTTTTTAAATTTGTGTGTTTGTAGTTGTGTGTGTGTGTGTGTGTGTTTTTTTTCCTGTTGTGTGCCTTGACGACTTTTCTTTCCCGTTGATTTGTGTGTTTGTGTTTGTACCTTTTTGTGTGTTTTCCTAATTGCGTATTTGAGTGTTCTTCAATTCCCCCTCTTCCCTGTCTCTGTCCTTCGGCTGCGTGCCGGGGCCTGCGCGTTGTTATTTACTCGTTTGGGAGAATAGACCGATGATGATGATGATGATTGTAAACAATTGTCTGAAATTTGGACTCGTTCTTCCCGTGTGTACTTGACGGTGCGGGAACGCCGAGCCACAGGAGGAATTTCTCGTTGGGGGATGTGTGCTACCGCCGTTGAGAACTCTTCTTGCATGCATATTCTTTTTGTGTCTTTTCCCCCCGTCATCCCTACCTACTTATGTACATATATATTTTTTTTTGTCTACTGCTTCAAAAAGACGCCACGTGCCTACGAAAAAAAAAAAAAAAAAAAGGACACGTTGTGTGGTCTTCACAGAGGAAAGGACACATAAAAATATATACTTATATACTTGTAATAAATGGACTCGGCTTCAGTGGCCCAATCCGATGGGATGTCTTTTTTGGAAAACAATGAGAACTGCAGCAGTCTTATGTTGTTTGAGCAGGCCTGGGCGAAGTATTACACTCGCCAGGGTGGCGAGGCACCAGATCTTTGTTTTCTGCCAAAGTTGGACTTGCATTGCCATCTGAATGGCAGTATTAGCGCTCCATTGCTGCTACATATGGAACATCTGACACAAAGGCAGCGCCAAACCTCTATTGCCACCAATAAAGTGCATGCGAAAACTGGGGAGCTTTTTTGTAAAAGTATTGGGCAAATGGATAATGTTCTGGAGAAATTTACCGATCCCGCTGAACGCATGAAATACTGTTTTAGAGTGTTTGAAAATATTTACAATATCATGAATAATGCCGCCTTCACACGGATGGCTGTGCAGGATTTGTTACTACATTCTGCGGCAGAAAATATTTTTCTCCTTGAGATACGGACTTCCTTGCGGGAAGGGCTTTACGAGAACCCACATGTTGCCGCATGTGGTGACGAGGCGGGGCGTATCACAAAGAAGACATACGTTGAGACTGTAATCCACACTGTGGAGCATCTCATGAATGGTGGGTTGGTGGATTTTGAAACAGGGGAATTGTTGCCTCGTAACGCACCCGTTCCTGCCAAATGGTGGTCTCAATTCCAGAAGTTGTATGCCTCGCTTGCCTCTACAGCAATGGAGTGCTCCCACGATAATGATGCGAAGTCAGAGACAAGCGGGGCAACCAGTGGCGCCACCCAAGAGCTGGCGGAAAATTTATTGGAAAGGCTCCGTGATTGGTTAATGCATCGTATGCATATTCGTCTTCTTTTATCTATTAACCGGGGTCACAACGCGGAAGCGGCGTGGGAGGTTGTGATGCTTGCAAAGAAGATTCAGCACGAGCAAATAAAACGTTTTTACGCGTCTCTGCAGGCAGAAGTTGCATTGTTTCAAGGCACGAGCAATCTGAGCATGACCCGGCAAGGAGAACGGATTCGACGAACCTGTTGGGTGACAGGTGTGGACTTCTCCGGTTACTGCGGTAAGAATCACTTTCTGGACTTTCTTCCGGCGCTCACGGAGGCACGGCGTGGCGGCGATGGCATATCCACGTCACCATTGTACGCGTCACTGGGTGTCACCTTGCATGCAGGGGAGAAGGACGACCCGGAGGAGTTGGCGGAAATGGTGAAATTTGCACCGGAGCGTTGGGGTCATCTTGTTTACACAGATTCAACAAACTTGTCTGCCATTCTCGCACGGCATGATGCGATTGAACTCTGCATCACCAGTAATGCCGTGACTGGGGGCTACACAGAGGTGACACAGCATCATATCGGTGGCATTCTCCACCGACAGCGGGGCAGCCAAGGGGATGGGGTGAACCCCGCGTTACTGTCACTGCTTACAAACGAGTCGAGCCTCTCGATGGCGATGCGGTGTCGGGTGCAACGGCGTTTGGCTAGATGGTGTCCATCGCCTGCGTTGGGTAGGGAAGTAACTGCCATCCCAAATGTCTCCTTCCACACGGATGATCGCGGAGTCTTTTTCACGTCGGTGACAGACGAGTTGGAGTTGTTGCTTCAACACGAGTGCCTGAAAGACGAGACGGCGTCACGCGTGTTGTGGGTTAAAGCCATTTGGGCCCTGCAGCGTCTCTCTTTGCCGCATGTGTTTGAACTTCCTTTGGAAATTGTGTATAGCTGCATATACCCGTGGAAGGAATGCTGTCGTCTTTGCGCTGGAGACGAACTTGCGGCACATATAAACGCCCACGTGGCGGCCCTTAGTGACACCGCACGAGCCGAGTTGAGTCTTACCGAACTCGGCTGGCTGCTGAATGGCTTTGATGACGCTTGACGATGCATGAAGAGCACAGGGAAAAGAGGAAAAGGGAGACGGAAATGTTGTCGTCACGGCACCGAGACGTTTGTTGTTTTGTTTGTTTGTTTGTTTTTTGTTATTTTTCCCCATTCAATGCTTTCAACGTATGTGTCTTGCCGTTCTTTTTTCTGTGTTTTTTTTTTCTTTTTGGTTTCTTTGTTTGTTCTTCCTTTTTTGCAGGCAGAAGCTAAGCCTTTAACGCCAGACATCACCTCACACGAAGCAGGGGTGAGAAGGGAGAAGTGGTGGGAAGGGCCAGCGCATTGCGCCCCAAAATTCCTACAGTGAAAACAACAACGAGAAGGAAGGAATACAGACATATATACATATATACGCACAATTTGAACGTGCGTACATTACAGACATAAACACACAGAGAGTGTGTGTGTGTGTGTGTGTGTTTGTGAGTGAGAAAGAATTCTTCCTGTTGTTGTGTCGGTGAGAATTTGAGGTGACGTTCTTTATTTATTACCAGCACGACGATCACGCATTGTTGCGTATTGACTCTGCGGTTTCTCACGGCGCGGACAGGAAAAATATAGACATGCCTCCAAAGAAGAAGACACATCAGAAACATGGCGGAAACAGGGAAGGTGTCTCGAGTGTGGCAGGAGCCAAAATGACACGAATTGTGGCATCGACTGCAGCACTACATGCCGGCAAAAACGTGCCATCCGTGCAGTATGGTGTTAGGCCATCTGCTCACACGGCAGCAGCGAGTCATGCTGCCGCTGTAGATGGGCAGAATACGAGAAACCCAACGAAACGATTACGTACAGAGAAAAATAATGACGATGTGAACGAGGATGTGACACCAGAGCAGTTGGGAAAGCAGGCGTATCAAGCAGGGCCGTTTTTGCCGTCTGAATTTTTATTGTCACCATCGAAGGCATCTGCATCCACCGTGCAAGCAATCACAACAGCAACAACTTCAGAGGCAGCTGTGGAACGATGTGAAGGGGGTTGGGGGGGTCTGTCGTTGAGTGGGGCGTCAACCCCACCGTTGGCTAAAACGTCACTGCGTGCGGAAGCAAAAAGTCCGGAGTGCTTGACGTGTAGAAACTCAAATACCACCCCACTCCCGTCCTCCACAGAGACAAAAAACGGTACACGGCACTCATTAGGGCGCTCTGAATACATCCCGTACATTTCTGACGGTGAGAAGAATAAAGACAGTAGTGATCGGGACAGCATTGCTCTTAGTCCTGAAGAAAGGCCCTCGACCACGTTGATTAGAAAGGCTGCAGCTACACGACCCGCTGTCTCCCCGGCAACGTTGTGGATCTGTATAGATGAAGATGACGATGAAGATGAAGAAATCAAATTCATATCATGTCCACCGCTATCTGCCCCACCCGCTGTACGTCCCGAGATGTGTACATCGCCCCCACAGCAAACACCACAGCCACCTCGACGAGAGCCCATCGCTGGGGTGTTGCCACCGACGTTTCGTCCACGCAAGGGACCACTTCAGGCAAACAAGCCGCCACCACGTTCGTGTAGTCCACTCCCGAACGGTTGCTTTATTTACGATGATGACATTACAGAGGATGACGAGGGGGGAAACGATGGCGAGGCGGATGGCCACAAGGCTGCAGGGAATTTGGTCTCCCAGCAGCCCTACCAAAAGTTCAATGATTTGGTCAAACATCTTGACATGAGCACGACCATGCACATGAGTTTTTCTACGCTTCCGTACGATACAAGTCGTTCTTACATTATAGATGATGATAATGATGATGAAATTGATAATTTTAGTCAAAAGGAGAATCAGAACAACAAGACGAACGCCGGTTTAGGTGGGTTGGGAAAAAATGCCATGCAACAGGCGGATCGAGCAACAGGTGTTAAGCCGCTCCGACCCCTGGGTTTACCCTCTTCTCCACCTACAAATGAGCCGACCTTGTCTGCTTCCTTTAACAGTAATGAGGGCAGCCCAGCACGTAGCGTACGAGATTTTCTCTTTTCATCACGTACACAAGTTTCAACGGATTGGTGTAATTCTTCCTTCAGTTCCTTTACGTTTGCCACGGCGGCCACTGCCAAAGCTTCCACCACCTCTATCAACATGCTGGGTAAAGAGAAATTAGACGTGGAGCCAAAGCGCGCTGTGGAAAAGGTTCGACCGCTATTCGAAAAGCGATTTACTCGTAAGTGTTTTCTTGATACGGTAGAAAGCGTTGTGTCAAAGTTGCATTGTCTTGAGCCTGGAGAGTTCTGGCAAGCCTTCATAAGGGCCGAATACGTTGGAGAGGGCAGCTTTGGCATTGTGTGGCGTTGTCAGACCGTTGACGGCGATCTTGTTGCGGTAAAGTCCTGCCCCATCAGTTTTCATTCACGTGGAAGCATAGATGATGGCTTCTCTGTGTTGCGGGAAATTGCCATTATGCGGTTTCTTAATGAGCACGAGGTGCCGTATATTCTCCCACTCTACAGTGCGTTCTTTGTGCCGGCGCGTGAGGCACTCCCGCCAGATGTTGTGGAAGCCGTCGAGTGGAAGGCACGTCTTGCGGAGGCCGAAGAAGAACGGGAACGAAGAAAACGAAAAAAACAACGAAAGCGTTCAACGAGAAAAGGTCAACGGAAGCAAAAGCCGTTTATGCAGTCACAGCTTAGTGAGGAAGAGGAGGGAAATGAAAAAGAGACGGAAGATCAATTGGCGGAACGCATGCGGTACGAGAAGGTGCGCATTCCACGTTTCTTATCGATATCCGTGGAGGATGCCTTGAGTTGTGACGCAACCATTTTTCTTGTCACGGAGCTGTGCGATGGCGATGTGGGGAACATTGAGCGGCACGACAGTGTCACGAAAGGGGTTGCCTTTTGTGTGAGCTCTGCCCTTTCTGCGATGCATCAACTTGGGCTTGTGCATCTGGACCTCAAGCCAAGCAACATTTTGTTTGCGTACGAGAACAGTCCGTCTCAGCTGCAGTATCATTCCCAGCGGCAACAGCAGGAACCACCCGCCACACCGGGGAATGCTACCAGCATCCCGTCATCACTTTCGACACCGCCCTCTTCAGGTGTCATGCGTGTGGCAAACACCCCAATGGCGGGTTCCGTCAAGTTTTATTTGAGTGACTTCGGTAACTGCCGCATCGTTGGACCGGGTGCGATGGATGAAGTGACGGGGGTCTTTGGGACACTTGAGTACATGGATAGCAGAGCCCTGCAACATAAAACGTGTAGTCGTGCAACGGACTGTTACAGCCTTGGCGCTACTCTCTACGAGCTGATTTACTCGCGGCGGCTCTACCCGCCCTGTAAAAACCCCAAGTGTGTCTCAGAGGATGACCATACACGACATTGTTACATTGAAGCGGCGCGGCAACCGGTTATAGCGGTTTCGCCGCCTAATTCTTCCTCTTCTCCATCAACAATGATTCTTCAGAAGGTGATAATGGGGTTACTTGCACTCGATCCAAAGGAGCGATGGACAGCGGAGCGTTGTCGTTCGTTTTTTCTGATTAACAGCGTTGCGGGTGGCATGAATACAACGCCGACATGACATCATTTTATTCTTTAACTGGAGAAAGAAAAGAAAGGAAAAACATACCAGTGGTGGTGGTGAACCATTGATGAGAGGTGGCATTGGTTGGCATCACCAGTACAAGGGAGAACGATTCTCACGGAGCTAAAAGAGAGTGTGTGGGAGGAATAGGAAGAAGGATGTACATTTAGCGAAGAGTGGAACTGATGCTGGTAATGGCATATGTACATGTGCCTGTGTCAGGTTTTATTTACTTCCTTTCTTTCTTGTCTGCATCTCTTTATTTTTTCTCTTGCTGAGTATGTGTGAATTTGTTTGTGTAAGTGTGGTGCCTTTTTGTTTTGTTTTTTAGTATGCTGCGTTACTGTTGATTTGTTGGCCGGGTTGTTCTTTTTTTTTTTTTTTAGTTTGTTTGTTTTTTGTCTCTCTCTCTCTCTCTCTCTCTCTCTCTCTGTGTGTGTGTGTGTGTGTTATTTTGTCGTGTGCTGTTTATTTATATCAAATATTTGTACATGTTTTTTGCTTGTGATTTGTATTGTTTGCTGAGTCTATCATGAGCAGTCATGGGGCCGTGATTGAAAGGGATGTGCTGCTTGAAACGCATTGTTCTCTTGACTGTTTGAAGGCGTCTTTTCCCTCCTTTTTTTTTTTTCCTCTCTCTCTCTCTCTGACTCTCTTTTGGCCTCTTTGTGTGGTAACCATTGGGGGCCAGGCTGGGGTGTGTGCACCGCGGCGACATTTTTACTAGCAGACAGAGACACACATATACGCTGCGGTACGAGAGGCATAGATCACGTAGGAGGATTTATATGCCACTCTTCCAGCGTATCGTACACGCGGCGGCACCACCGTCTCACGTTGTCGGGCTACGGCGACGTTGTTTTTGCCTTTTCACACGACGCCAAATGATGGGCAACGGCCCTTACGGTGGAGAGAACATTATTCATAGCCGTCGCCTTATCAGCAGCAGCAGTAACAATGGTAGTGGTATTGGCATTGTTGGTGCTGGTGGCGGAAGGAGCATCAGCGGGACCAGGGACGGTGGCAGGCGCAGAGGTGATCTCGTGACGGGAAATTCACCGCCGCCACGCCCTCCACCGACATCTCCGGCGGCAACACCGGGTGGTGTGCAGTACGGTGTGAGGCGGCAGGAGGAGATGGATGCGGGGGAGCGTCGACGTCGAACGGAGCAACGCGCCACCGATGCGCAGAGACGCGGTGAGGAGCCCGTGGGTGCCGCAGCCGCGTCTGAAATGGAGCGCTGGTGGCCAAAAGAGAACCAAAACTGGTCGGGTCGTATGTTTTCATCCCCGTTTGACAAGAATAAAAGGAAGCTGGACGGCATGTTTGTGCCGGAGGTAAAAGAAGTGCCGAGTCCTACACGGCCGCTTGAAGTGAGCTACGCGGAGGACAACTTTTTTGTCAATCCCGACTTCCACATGGCAGACGAGGTGTTCGATGAGGCACGCCGCTTTGTCCCCCCACCGAGCTTTGATCCCGCCATTGACGAGATTGATGATGAGGGCTTTGTGGATGGACAGGTGATGTTTGACATCCAAAAGGCATTGGAAGAAGACAAGAAACGTCTGGAGGCCTTTGGGAACCCAATTCTTGTTGAAGATCAGGTGGATTACCTCCTCGAGCCGCAACGTGAGGGAATGGAAAATATGCAGCAACGACAAGAGTTTAACGGCTTTGTGCATTGGGGCCTTCTCCATGGTGCCCACATGATACTTGAGGAGAATCATGACTACAAGAAGGCGCACGAGTTTGTGAACCGCTACATGCGAGACATTGACATGTTTCAGAAGTGGCTGGAGCACCCAAAGGTGCGGGCACATATTGAGAAGAAATTTGGTATCGACATGCACGCCAAATTTGATAAACTCATGGCACTTGTCATGGCAATGTACGCAAGATCCAAAATTCAAGTGTATGAAGACGATCCGGCTGGAGCACTGAAGTCTTTGACAGCCTGCATGGGATTCATCAGTGAGGGTGCAGATCTGAAAAAAGAGCGGCATCGTAAGGCCATTGGCGCCGTTCTTGCGGCACGCGGAATGGTTTACTGCAAGCTGAAATCGTATGAACGTGCGGACGATGATATCACAAGGGCGCTTTCATTTGTGAATCAAAAACGGTGCGCCACACTTTTTCAGCTGCGGGCGGAGGCACGGGAGGCACTTGGGCGCATTGAGGATGCCCGCCTAGACGAGGAGCGGGCGGCAGAGATTTGGGAGAACGCCGAAGTGATCTCCCCTGGCATGGACGGAAAGCCATACAAGTTTGTTCTGTAAAGGAGATATGGAGAGAGAGAGAAAGAAAGAAAGGAGTGGTTGAAGGCAAATAAAAAAACAGAGGGTAGGTGAAGGCCGTGTTGTTGTTGTTGTTGTTTGTGTGTGATGTCTCTAGAAGAGGGGATGAGGCAAAATTATCGGTCGAAAAAAAAAAAAAGGAATCCTTCAATACAAACAGTCGTTAACGCCACGCCGTGCACGGAAAGTCACGTACATGTTGTCTGTTCCTGCAATTTGCAAAAATGGAGGAGAGGCTCTGTAATTTCACCCCACACACACACCCCCTTCTTGTAAAGACATGTCTCTTCTGTTCCTCACTTTTTCTCTTTTTTCTTCCTTTTTGTCTGTTTTTTTTTTCCCTCACCGTTGCCATTGAAAATATTATTTGAAAAAAAAAGGTTTATCCAGGAGGCGGTGCGAAGGCAGGTGGGTGTATTTGTTTTATACGCACTTGTTTACATATACACCCACAAACATACATATACACGCGCTAAGTAAGCATAGAGGGAAAGAGAAAGATAGAGCGATAGAAAAAGAAAGAGGGAGGGAACACGCATGCTGCCGCGCCGTATTGCTGTGCCAGAGCTCTCATTTGCAGGACTGCAGGCAGTAAAAGTCAGTAGGCGATACACGCAGCATTCTGGGCGTCTTCAACAGTTTGCGTACCTCCCACCTGGCAGTCATGCGCCGCGGATGCCTTGGCTTCGTGATGCCGTGTCGCAGGATTCAACTGTAAAAATGGCACCGTATGACGGCACGGCGCCACTCTACGCAAACTCCACCGTCGCGGCAGCCGTGAAACCCCCACCAAGCGCGTCCATTACAGCGGCGGCGCCGTCATTTATTGCAGACCCTTCAGAACTGGATGGAATTCTTGAAAATTCCCTTGAGCCACCCGACCAGGTAGCGGCACGTGCAGCATGGGTTGCAGCGGAATCAGTTGGACTGATGCAGACCTCTGCAGCTCAAGGAGGTCCGCTACGCGCCACAGCGGCGTGCCGTATGTCTGCTCTTGCAGAACCGACGTTGGACACTCATATCGGTGACATCTTAAACGTGAGTGACTCCCTTGCGGGGGAAATGTTGCCAGATGTAGTGCGACTTCTTATAGAACCAAGTGCAGATGGGGTGGAAAATGTTTCTCTCAGTGATTTTGCAGCCATGCAGCCTAAACGACAGCTTGCGGCTCTTGGTGGTAGGAAGCAGTGGCATGAGTGGCTCATTGAAAGCACACATTATAAACAGGTGGCACGTCTGGAGTTGGAGTCCCCCTATTATGATCTGCGAGCGCTACGGCAGGCGGGTGTAACCACGTTGTACCAATGGGCAGAGCAGCCGGATCTAGTGAAGGTTTCGTCGTGTACACGAAGTCTACTGGATGCTGCGGTGGAAAAAAGTGTTGAGGCATACGTTGAGGAGGTAGTCAGGGTTGTGAACACAAGCAACCGACTGTCAATTATGTTGATATCATGGGCCGCAGACACCGTCAGTAAATTTATTCTGGAAACACTACATATCACTGTAGAACAAGCAGCCTTGCAGCGTCAGAGTACAGGAGTAGGAAAAACTGTGTTGGGGACGGAAAATGCGAATG